TAACCCAGCAGATATATCTCGGGGAGCGGGGATAGCATATGAAAACTTAAAGACCAGAGTGTTAGCTAGCTTACCTGCAAGAGTGACAGATTCGGCATCAGTGTGTCGGGCCTTCACTTTGTTCCCCTCCGAGCGGATAATGGTCCCGCAAGCATGTTCGTATCCCCCGTCAAAGGCGAAATCCTTGGGTGTCGGCCGCGGGACGCCCGGGCCGCCCTCTCTCCTCCCTGTAATGGCTTCTCGGAAGGAAAGCGGCCCAGTAGAGGTACCCGGAGGGGGTCCAGCTGCGGCGGAATTAGTCGGTGATGGGTCCGTCGGAGGCGTCCCGATTGGGGGTTGTCCGTTACAATGTGTCGCGGATTTTGTGTTTGGGCCCGTGTCCATGACACCCTCTTCTCGCACATACATGAGAACCTGTTCATAATTTCCGGCCTAAAAAATGGCAGCTCCGGCGAGAACATCGGTTTGGGACGGTGTAGTAGGCCGTGGTCCAAGAATTCCGGTTGACGGAATCACTTTTGGAGCCTCTCCGATTGACATTCCGGTCGGTCGTGGTTTTCCGGTGGCCGTTGCTCCGCCTGCGCCGGAGTATGGTGGGTGGATCACGTCCGCCGGTGGGATGTTGTTGATGACTGGACTGGAGTTGGGGGAGGTATCGGCAACTGACGGTTGAGCTTTGGATGCGAGTTGTTGATTGCAGGGAACGGATTGAGGGCCTGGGATGTCACGGTTATGGGTTGGTGGCAGGTTGAGTTCGGCCCGAGAGATAGTGGGCTGAGGGAAATTATTTGGCAAGAAGTCGGGCTGGGAAGTTTGATTTGTGGATTGAAATGGTCCAATAATAGGTAAGCCCAAATAGGGGGATTTTGTGGGCTGAGGTTCTGTGGTGGATTTGGGGTCGAGATGTGATGGGCCCAGGTGGAAGGAAAGGTGATTGGGCTGAGAGGGGATGTCATGAGGTTGTGAATTGAGAGTTGTCTTGTTGGGCCGAGAGGATTGGGCCTGAGGAGAAACTGAAATGGGCCCAGGCAGTGAAAAATTACTCAACATACCTTCTCTTTGTTATGAATTATTCTCGCAACCACGTGGATCTGAAAACCCTATTGATTGAGCATTGTGTAAAGGAGCTGAGGGGATGCTCTGTTGACTATTCAATACTGGGTGGGTTGCGGCGGATGTCTTCCTTTCCGGCGAAACTATTTCCGGCGGTGGGCTACACGCCCTGAAGGTGAGCGGCGGGTCTGCACTACCGATATTTAACCCGCAGTGATCTGATTTTGGCTCAAAGGGACCCTTCGGTCGACCCGATCCACTTACTAAATGCGAAGTCGAACCTAGATCCGGTGATGAAGCTTTTATCCCAGAAAATTGTGGTTGCTCCGATTGGCCATTTTTTGAGTTGCGTTTTGCGTATCTCTTTTCCTTGGGATCCGGCGATGAGGCATCAACTCGTTTCTTCTCCAAATCTTCAAAAAATTCTCCTTCTTCTACACTATTGTTTTCAACTTTTTCTTCTCCTTTTTCGACAATATTGTTTACCGTCGTTTTTGTTGAGCTCTTTGCGAGAATAGCTAGAATAGCCTCTCGAATTGCCGGTTGAGAGAGGAGGAGCTGTAACTCCGGATCTTGACTGGAAGTTTGAATTTGTTTATTGGACTGAGATTGAGATGTAGCCAAAAGAGACATGTTGGGGTGAAAAATCTGAAGATAATTAGTGGATTAACGGTTAAGGAAAAGATGATAAAAATGAAAAAATGTGGAGTGTCCGGCAGCCGAAGGCCGCCGGGGGAGGCGGCGGAGGGCCGGCTAGTCTGGGGTGGTGGTGGTGGCCGAGGGAGGGGGGGTGTGGTGGATGATGGTGAAGGGGAATCCTAGAGAGAGAAACCTAGAGAGAGGTGAGAGCATTTGGGTTCATTCTTATCTTTGCTGTCTTTTGTTGCTAGGTTAGTTCTTTCTTGCTGCTAGGTTAGTTATCTGATGCTGCTAGGTTAGTTTTCTTTTGTTGCTAGGTTATTTCTTTCTTGCTGCTAGGTTAGTTGTCTTTTGTTGCTAGGTTATTTCTTTCTTACTGCTAGGCTAGTTGTTTGATGCTGCTAGGTTAGTTGTCTTAAGTTGCTAGGTTAGTTATCTGTAGTTGCTAGGTTAGTTGTCTTTTGTTGCTAGGTTAGTTCT